GTTGTTTTTTCATGCTTCTCATGTGATGCTCTTTGTGAACAACAAATTGAATTTCCATTGACGAAAAAAATTACTAGAAGGATTATTAACATTTTGCTCCTTTTGTGGATGTTTCTTGCAGCTCAGTGTTACAGCACTACAGTCTCAAACTGTCAGCCTCTCATTGAGCAGCAACATAAATGTTACTATGGAAACTTTGTTGAGGGAGATACAGTAAGCTTTGCAGCTAATTGCTCGATCAGAACAAACGGCTTATTTTTCTACTTATAACATGTTTTTTCACCATTTTCCTCTGCTTTTGATTCAGCGTTAGTCACACACACACCATAACACACCCAGTTCAGATCACACCTTTAATGCTTGTCGCTTTTCATGTGCTTCCTACTTTTCTGTATGAATTAATGAGTTGCCACCACGGTGAAAATCCATATTATGCATGTGTGTATAAGACACTCCAGTGTTATGACAGGAACAAGACATCTCCTGCTATGTCTATAGAGATTTCAATCTATATTGTAGGTTTATGAAGGTGGTTGGGAGTGCCTGCAGCAGGTCCTTTGAAGACGCATCAGAACGGCTTAGAGTGCTAGGAGTTAGATCATCAATGATGCATCAGTATTGTCAATATATATCAGCCTATTTGTGATCTATGCTGGTTTTACACACGCTACATGTCCTGTAGTGCCTGTGCTAGTTTAATATGTCATAAAAGTATACAGTAATAATTTGATGTCAGTGGAAGTGGGCGTTGTAAGAAATCATATATTCCTACAAAATATCTTTTTCAAAACGGTATTCCTAGAAATAATATATAAATTAATCCAAACATTTTCAATCATTATCACATTTTAAAATTCAAATACATGTATTCATATAGGTATTCACCTCTAGTTGTAGACTTAATTGTTCTCTTATTACTCTTTTGACAAATGTCAAACTACAAATATTTATTTATCAATACCGGTAGTTATATTACTCATATTCCTCAACTTTTTACTTATTGGTGGTTTACCTCGTGCTGAAGTGCTGCAAGATAGTTCAAGTAATAATTAAAGAGTTGTTTTGGAACTGGAGTTACTTGAGACACTAAAAATAAAAGACGTTTTATAAATAAGACTAATTATCTAAATATAACTGTGGTGTCTAAGGCTGCATGTGTGGTAACAAATTATCACTGCCAGCAAGAGCCAATATCTCTCCATGAAGAAGCACACGCACAGAAAAAACACAGGTCTGGATTTTGCAAGAGAAAATATATACAGGACTGTCTCAGAAAATTAGAATATTGTGATAAAGTTCTTTATTTTCTGTAATGCAATTAAAAAAACAAAAATGTCATACATTCTGGATTCATTACAAATCAACTGAAATATTGCAAGCCTTTTATTATTTTAATATTGCTGATTATGGCATACAGCTTAAGAAAACTCAAATATCCTATCTCTAAATATTAGAATATCATGAAAAAGTATACTAGTAGGGTGTTCAACGAATCACTTGAATCGTCTAATTAACTCGAAACACCTGCAAGGGTTTCCTGAGCCTTGAAAAACAACTCAACTTGGTTCAGTAAACTAAATCACAAGTATGGGGAAGACTGCTGATCTGACTGCTGTCCAGAGGACCGTCATTGACACCCTCCATCAGGAGGGTAAGACACAAAAAGAAATTTCTCAAAGAGCAAGCTGTTCACGGAGTGCAGTTTCAAAGCACATCCACAAAAAGTCTGTTGGAAGGGGTAAATGTGGCAGGAAACGCTGCACAACCAAGAGAGATGACCGCAGCCTTAACAGCATTGTGAAGAAGAGTCGCTTCCAGAATTTGGGGGAGCTTCAAAGACAGTGGACTGAAGCTGGAGTCCAGGTATCAAAAGTCACTGTTCACAGACGNCCTCTTCATTTATTTTCCTCTATGAGGAAATAAACTGGGAAATGGCAAAAAAAGAAACAAGAAATGGCAAACTTCCAGGTGACCTGCTACTCGTGACATGACACTGGTTACCATGGTGATTGCCCATTAATAGCCAACAGGCACTGACTTGTCCACAGGACACGGTTGTGTCTCACACAGCGAAGACTGCGTATGTGCGTGTGTGTCCGTCTGTGTGCATTTGGCTGATTGGGTGGCGGTTTGAATGTGGGAGGCTGTGGCGCAGTGGATAGTGTGTTGATGTTCGGCTCAGGGGAGCACAGGTTCAAACCCCACTGCAGTCAGCATGTCGTTGTGTCCCTGAGTAAGACACTTCACCGCTAATTACTCCTGTGGGGATTGGCCACAGTATTAAGTATAAGTCGCTTTGGATAAAAGCATCTTAACATGTAATGTAATGAATGTATAATGCATTTGTAGGAAAATGTGTGAATACCTGTGATTGTGTAAGAATGATTAAAGCTCCAGAGTAGGCTGTGGGTGTGTGTGTGTGTGTGTGTGTGTGAGCAGAGAGGATTCCTTTAGAACAAACTGTGTATTTGATCACAGTGAGGGGGTGCTAGGTCCACAGCCAAATCGTGTGTGAAAGCTCATAATGACAGATGGCATGTCCAAATGTGCCGATTTGCCATCTACAATGTGTCAATGACGAGATAGAACCACTTTGAGTACACATTTTATATTGATGGACAAAAGCCCCCACAAACATGCTTTTGAGCCCAAATGAGTCATAACACTTCTTTCACAATAACCATCAGCTCACTGATAACATATGAAGAGCATTCATGAAGTGTTGGCCAGTGACCCTGAATATTATTTTTTGTGCGTGCGCCTGTGTTGACCTGACTCCAGCCCTGCACGCTGATTGGCTGCTCATACCTTGATGTGTATTCGGGCTCTGTTCACATAGTAACTGTATCTATGGCTGTGTCTCTGCTCAACTCACCAACCACACCCACTCACATTCCCTTTGCTTGTGTTTGCCTTCGCCACACTATCATCTCACTTACAGAACTCAACTCAGTAAACTCTTCTACTGTCATTTCATTTTTCGTCATGAAACAGTTCATCCAAAAATCTCTGGTGCAGCAGTCTTGTGTGTGTGTGTGTGTGTGTGTGTCCCCGTGCATGAGTGAAGATCGTGCTGAGCCGAGCTCCTCTGGTGCAATGTTCCTCTCCGTCCCTTGTTTTCCCACCCTTCCCTTTCTCCCATGACTCTGATCTCAGCACAGTGGAGCAGAAGTAAGTGTTTTTCACGGAATGGGGCACAGGAAGTGTGCATGATAGTGTGTGTGCAGGAGGAGGAGGCGGTGGTTTGGAGTGTGTGATGTGTGAAACAGGAGGGAATGCAGGTACAGCTTCTGCTCTCCACCTCTCAAGGGCTTCTCTAACACACATGGCCTTTGCTTCCTCTCTCTCACTGTGTGCTCTGTGTTGATGTGTGTGTTGGAGTGTGTTTCTGTGTGTATGTTAGTGTCCATGTGTCCTGAGAAGCAAGTGAATGTCGAATATGAATGTGCATGTATAAGTCATCCTGCTGATGTGTGTTTCTGATGATTGTGTGTGTGCATGAGCGTCTTTCTGTCCGCTCCAGCCTGTCAGCTTGGCTGTGCATCTTTTGCGGAGCGATCATTTCAGAGCGATCATGAAGGCTACTTTTGACTTTAATCTCTCCTGAAATCCTCTTCTTCTCTCCCAGGTCACTCTTTCTCTCTTCTTGTTCTTGTTCTCTTGTTTCCTCCAGGTCCCACTGTCACAAAACCACGCAAACTCCACGGCAGCGGAAGCACAGAAGTGACACTTCTTCAAAGTGGGCCAAAGTTTAGCAGAAGTCACTCAGGGGCTTGATTATAACACTCCATTTTGTGGCCATTGTGTGTTTATAGCGCTGTGAATTCTCTTTGAATTCACATTTGAACCTCATTATGTAAAGCTCCCCTGGAGACGACGCACAAGCACTGACTATTAGAAAAATGCTAATCTTAATCAATCATGAAAGCATGAACAAAAATATAAAAATTGTGCATGCCTTGATTTTTTTTAAGTCATTGTTTTGTACTTACCACAAGACCTTTATAAATGAAAGGCTGTCTGTGAGCTTCACCTTCAAAGTGTAACTTCCTGGCCCCTGGCATGTTAGCATTCCCAGACATTTCCCTCTGATATCCAGGCTAGACATTTTGACTGAAGCATGACTAAAGCTTTCCAAATCCACTTCTGATAAAAATGTATGCTTTGAACTCAAAATAATTCTCACTCCAGTGCAAAAGTTGCAAAAACTAGATGTGTGGATTACAGAAGCGTGTGCGAGCAGAGGTGAGGTGTCTTTTCGACTAAGGTAATTACTTTGGGAGTCAGTGTTCAAACAGCATGATCGGAATTCAATAGAGGTATTGATCAGCTTGGGTAGAAACAGCTGATCACAAAAGCACTGGTTTACAGTCAGTTGTTTTATAGATTAGACGTGTCAAGTTTCACTTTCAGGTTTGACCAGTAAAAGGACAAGTAGAATCTGGATTATACTTTTTTCTCTTTCTTTCCCTACAAACTCGACTGATGCATTGGTGGAAGAAGAAGTAGTCAAGTCGTGCGTATAAAATCTTACTTAAAGGTGGGGTAGGTAAGTTTGAGAAACCGGCTCGAGATACACTTTTTGTTATATTCCATGGAATGCTCTTAACATCCCGATAGCAATGAATATCTTAAGTGCTTTGACAACAAATCCATAAAAAAATTTCATCTGTGGAAGCCGTAGTACTGTAAAAAGTACGACCAATCATTTTAGCCGGCCCGGCTAAAATAACTGGATGGCCTACCTGCCTGTCAGCCTTCCATCTGTGCACAAACTTATCTTGTGCCCTCATTGGTCATGTGCGCGTTCGCACATGACCAATGAGGAGTGTGTTGGAGGAGGGGCTCTGTAAGGAAGGGGCACATTTTTTCCGGCTGTGTATTTTCAAATTCCAGCACACTCGAGCTGGTTTCTCCGAAATGACCTACCCCACCTTTAAGTAAAAGTACAGAAGTATCGGCATCAAAATATACTACTATAAAGTAAAGGTGTGTGATACCTGTGTTTGTGGGGCTGGTCATGGCTGAGGGCAGGCTGGGCTGCTCCCCCAGCACCAGGCGGACTCTCTTGGCGTGGGTTTTGCCCTGGTAGTGCGACTGGGCCACAATGGCGGAAGTGAAGAACATGTTACACAGCGTACAGCACTTGTTCCTGTCCACCTCGGTCTCTGAACATTCCTACAGGAGGAGAGCAGAGGGGGGAGAAGGTAAAGGAGAGAGACAAGGGAGGGAGGGAGAGAGAGGTCACATGAGACCAAAATGAACCATATGGATGGAGGGGTCGAGGGAGATGAAAAAGAAAAGAGGTTGGTGGAGGTGAAGAAAGGAATGATGTGAGAAGAGAGGCAGTGAGAGGTGAAGGCGAGAAAAGGCAGGGGGAGATGAAAAATGGGAAGTTGTGTACTTTGCACTGACCTCGTGGACTGTCTGTTTCTCACACGCACGCACGCACGCACGCACGCATGCACACACATACATACATACATACATACATACATACATACATACATACATGCACACACACACATACAGAAAGCAAAGAGAAGGCTGATCAAATATTCATCTCTCTCTGGGCTGAGACTGTGGCTTGGCCCTTTCACCGCCGCTGGATCATTACTAATGATGATGGGGAGTTCTTCCCCACGGGAGGGAGCGAACACAAACAAAAAGACCAACCGCCTGATTGACACAAATGTACAAACAAACAAACAAACAAACAAACACTCTCGCCTGCAAATACACACAAATACACATGCACACCTCTATAGCTTTTTCAGTTTGTTTATGACATATATGGGAACTAAACTCAAGGGAAAAACAATATATACATTGTGTGTGTGTGTATATGTATATATATATATATATATATATATATACACACACACACAATATATTGTGTTAAAGAAAATTGAAATTCTTCATCACACAATTCCCTTGTGTTTTTCTGACTGTGTGGTGAAAAACAAGTTGACTGGCCTGCACAAAGACCTGACCTCAACCCCATCCAACACCTTTGGGAAGAAATAAGACGGACTGTCAGCCCGGCCTCATCGTCCGACATCAGTCCCTGACCTCACTAATGCCCCGCGGCTGAATGGAATCCCAGCAGCTCCAACAACTTGTGGACGGCCTTGCCAGAGGAGTGGCTGTTATTCAGCATATTAATACTTAAAGACCAAGATTTCAGAATTACATATTGCAATCACATATGGGTGTGATGTTCAGCTTTCTCATATTTCTATATATATAAATGGAAACAGGGATGATTTATATTTTTTGAATTCCTCATTGAAGAAAAGCAATATTTCACGGTTTCAGAGCCAACCTTTTAAATTCTACACAACTTTTCCCCCCAGTTTGTTTCTTCTTCTTGCTGCTCATATTGAACCTCCACCATGTCGCCGTCTGTTCATCCAGACTTGAATTCTCTTTAAGTCTTTCTTTGCCTCATGCAAACTCCTTTTTGGTTTGCACATTCCTCCCTTTTTCTATCTGTTTTTTCTCTTTACAATGGCGCTCTATAGTGTCAAGTTGAGATGTAGGAGAGAAACTTTGGTCTCAGCGAGGCAGAGGACAATAATAGAAAAGTGTCAGCATCACAACACCATATCTAAGTCTGTGAGTGTGTGCTCTGTTTTTCTGTGTGTCTTGTGTCAGCCCTGGTTAGCATCACGGACAGTGAATGTGCGACTTAAGGACACCTTTACCTCTCAGGCCTAGCTTTGTCCCTCAGCTGTCCCTGCTTTCTTTTTCCAATGCTTTCTGTTTCTCTCACTCTTCTTCTCTTGCTTTTTGTCATTGCCTTGCCTTTTTCTCCCCCCCCCCTCCCCTCCGGGCACCAGTCTCAGTGACTCTGTGTGTTGTGGGATGAAATATTTATCTATATTGGCAGGCCCTCGCCACCTCCACTCCTCCTCCCTCTCGCCTCGCCTCCACTCCTCCCCCGTGTCTGTCCCCGCTGTGATCATGTTAAGAGCTAGCTATGAACTGGTCCACCCCCCCCATCACCAGTAAACTCAATTTCCCTCTCCTTCTCAGTCACTACAAATTCATTTTGTTGTGCTTTATTATGAAGCATTGTCTCAGGTTGCCAAATGAAGATAAAGGCAAGTTTTGATCTACAATATGTTAAGTAAATATGGCTTCCCTATACTTAATCATAGTCTTTATTAATCATAGTCAGCAGCACCCATGAGGACAAGTCTCCTCTCCTCCATTACATCCTTTTCACCTACATTCCCCCCGCTTCCTCATTACCATCTCCCCCTTGTTCTGTTCCACCTCCTCTCTAATGCGTACGTTCTGCTCCTCCTCTTGTCTTTTTCACTAGTCATCCTATTGCTCTTTCCCTACACTCCCCCCCCTCGCCTACTTTGTCTACTTATCCTCTCCCCTGGGCAGTGCTGCTGAGATCTTGTTCTACTGAAATCTTGTTGTACCAGGATGGGGGAAATCAACTGCAGTGAGCCAATGTCCAAAAACTGCATTTTTTTTTTTTACTCCGGACAAAGAGTCTGAGATGAGTCTCAGTGGCAGCATGTTGTGGTCTCACCTGTCAAAACACACTGAAAAGTAAAAGCATCAGTCGACAGCAAAGGGACTAAAACACAAAGAAGCGTCTTCGTGAAAGAAGATGGTAGAACAAATCCTGTCGCTCAATGACAATGTTACACGAGGGATTTGGTGACAGTGCGGGGAAGGTTTTAAACAATCTCGAGTGTGTGGGTGAATGACATATGAATAAGTGTCATCTCATTACAGCTGCCACTCCACTACGCCACTTCAAACAATAAACAGCATCTCTGACTCACTGTTTTCCTCCATCATCGCTCTCCGCTGAAAGTCATCAACCTTTCTGTTTCTTCATTTTAGTTTTCTAGGTTCCTGCCTCTGCTCGTTTCAATTTTCCTTTCTATTTTGCTTCTACCTGTCGCACCTCGCACATCTGTTGAGACTGATTTGCATGCGACCTAATTGTCGAGTGTGTTTCTGTTTGTGTGTGCAATGCTGCATGTCTGCCTGTTTATCCACAGCCTGTTAGTGATGCCTGTGTATCGCTGAATATTTTGTGTTGGGTTGGTTTCATGTTGCTCGTGCAGCTAACAATAGACTCTTAATTAGCTGTGTTAATCTTCTTCTCCTTCTGTTTTGCTTTCTCTCTGCTCCTCCTTACTTATCCAACTGCTCTGTGTCGAGGCGCTGTGGGAAACATTTCTAAATATACACATTGAGCAGCACAGGAAACAGACGCTCTCATTTGGAATTTGAAGGAGTGCTGAAAGTGTAAATTTAAAAAGGACCCAGAGTGCAGATATAGCATTAGAGGAAAATAATAGGCGAGAAAAACACATTTTGTTATCTCTTGCCCTTTGCGAAGGTAAAAAACTGCACAGACGGAGAAAGAGCATGGTGGAAAATCGGGGGTGAAAAAAGGGATAAAGTCCCCTCCTCTTTCATCTGGGAGCACCTTTATGACCTACTTTCTCTATGTTTGTTCTCTGACACTTTCACGTACACACACACACACACACATTTCAAGGCATGGCATTTTGCACTAGGTAGACGCTGGCATTTCATTCACTCTGAGAAAATCTTTCTCGGCTGTTCCCATTGGAATGCAGCATGTCAATCAGTAAGAGAACAGAGGGCAAAAACACTCAAATAAAGTGTAAGAAAAAAGATTAGAAAACTGGGAGATGAGGAAAAAGATGAAAGAGTTGAAAGATGAAAATCCTAAGTTGTATGATGAGAATTTCATCTCTGGAGGAGCTTCCATCTTCAATCAGTTTTGCAGCATTGTCGGATAATCAATGTCACATCTCTGCGTGAAAGGTTACGAGTAAATTGCTAGCTGAGGCGGTCACGGTGCGTTACTGTACGGCAGATGAGGTGAGCGTGCACATGGTCTGTTCAGTGTCCCGTATGAGGGGCTGAGTCATGTCTTATTCACTTAGGGAGACAGATGGAGACGCAGGTGTGTTCCTACAGTACAGTTATAAACCCATGTGCCCTTGACATGCCCAATAGTTTGACTTTATGACATCTAAGGGCACTAAGGAACACGGGTGAACTAAGAAACATTAATGCCCATTTCCAGAGTTTTACACTATTACATTATTCTGAAAAGCTTTATAAACCTGCTTCCCCCCCCCCATCATTTTCCTTGCTCGGTATAACGAAGCTGTGTCTGACAATTTCCACTACTTTCAATCTAACATTCACACCCTTCACAAAGCGATTGTTCAAAATCAAGCAGTTTTGAACTTCTCCAAAGCTCATCTAAAACTCTTTATGCAACTTTTCATGTGTCAAAACGATTGCAAAAGTATGAATGCCTTTCAGGAGCGACTGTCTAAATATGTGTTGCTTTTATCCGCATATTTAAGCAATTATCGCTTCTCTTCTCTCTATGAAGACTGGCTTGTCACTCTGCCTTCAAGTGCGGCGGTAATAGCAATAAACACTAGTTATTTTCGAGCATGGATGTTAATGGCTTACAGTTCTTTATCTATTTTTGGAAATATTCTCAGCATCTAGACTAATAGAGTTATTCAATGAGACTTTATACATATGCTGGGTGAGAGCATGGAGCCAAAAATCACACACATAATTTGTCAGGGTTCAAAACGGTTCATTGCCTATTTATGAAGGGCAGCCTGAAATCACTTGTACTTAATGTTTGCAAATATTTGAGTTTTTATTATGAATGTCCTGTCTTTGGAGGACAGAGGGTCATTGCTGTTCAAAGCTAATTGGGGCTGGGCTCAGGGTCTTGGCTGTGGTACTGTGCTGTTTTTAGAGCCGCTCCACCTCTTCCTCTCCTCTCTCTCTCTCTCCACTCTCTCTGATTTGTCAGTTAGTTTGATAAGCTTTATTTTTCCACCAGCTGTGTCCTCAAAGTAAATGTATTGTGTATGTGTGTATTATGCCATGTGGGACTTATGGGCTTGCTGGAGAAATGGGGCACACAATGCCCTATAGTAAAGCTCCCTGGACACAATAGTCACATTTCTTTTCACCGACGCAAACATACAAAGATGCACATATACAAAGTCAACATTGAATCAACAGCTAAATGGCCTTTTTTGCTCCATCAACTCACTGTGGATACAAATGCAACCTCAGCTTTGGCTACAGTTGCAGAAAAGAGAACAAAAAAACAATTTCTAACCTACAACACAAAGACAGACTCACAAATATGAGCAATGCACTGACCTCCCTAGCCAAAGCCTGCAATAGTCCGATAAAATGCTGCTTGGTGGCGTCTGCACTCACTAAATCTAGCCAGAAACACCAGGCAAAACCTCTTTTGGGAGAATTATAACGCACAAGTGCAGACAATAGATCAAACAAATATTCTCATGAGCTGCAATGGCTGAGCCAGAGAGAGACAGGCCCAGGAAAGGATTAGACAAAGACAAGTCAACTCTGTTTGTCAACTACAGCATAAAGCCACAAATTCACACATTTCAGCATGCAGATAATTGTGTTTCCCAACACTTCTTCAGAGTTATTTCAGCTTGTGATTGTACCACAAAACGTTACATCTTTAAGGTAATTCCATGCACTAATACTACATGTTTAGCTTGAAAGTCGAAATAAAATGTAAATAGCATTGTATGAAAGATGCAACACAGACACAGAAACACACACATGCAGGGAGCTTACTGGGTTATCTGGCCGCAGTCTCTTGGAAGGGGGTCCTCCATCTTCTGGGTGAAGCATGTAGAACAGACGTACCTTGTTGGCATGCTTCTTGCTCTGAGAAAGAGACAGTAAGAGAGAGTAAGAGTGTCAGACAGTGAACTGAGATTTATTTTATCAACTGAGCCGAGTGGAAACCAACATCAATGACTGTCACTCCACCTCGGCCATTTCCTCCAAGCTTTTATCTCTGCTGCAGTTGATGATGCTAGCAGACGGTTTTGCTCCCGGCTAGGTGACTAATGGTCCGGGCCAGCCTCAGCTTTTTGGGAGCCCTGAGTCAGATGTTGGGGAAGGGGGAGTGGTGGGAGGGCTCTTTATTTCACCTGTGCACACTGGCTCTGTAAAGTGCTAAATGAAGTGAGGCAATCGTTTAGAGGGCGGTAAAATGTGAACAATGATATCCTAGTGGCTTTGTGAAATAGAAAGGCAAAGAGCCCTTTTGGGGAATCATGATTAATGTCATTTAAGATATGATTATAATTGGAATATATGAGTGTGTAAAATATATAAAAAGCTATTAGTGGGCTTTACAGTTCAAGTACTTTGAACTGTTAGTGTTCGTGCTGCTTCATTGATATTGTTGTGTTTTCGGCCCACCTGGCTGTGGGTGTTTTTGCCTGCCTCCGTCACTATCTCTATAAGCTGTGATAAGTGAGCTGTCGTTGAAGCTGCTAACTCTCACTTTATTTCAGAACAATGAAAATCACTGGACATGCTGCAGGGTAAAGATTAGTGTATGTGTTAAGACAGCTGTGTGTGTGTGTGTGTGTGTGTGTGTGTGTGTGTGTGTGTGTGTGTGTGTGTGTGTGTGTGTGTGTGTGTGTGTGTGTGTACGGTGTCTATCTCGTTCTATACATATCCTTTTATTGTCATGCTCCGTGACCTTCACTCCTTTCTACAATGTGACAACTATTATTATCTATAAATTGCAGTGCTACGACAATTTTCCAGAAGCAAGTGTTGACACTGTCAAAGAAATTGAATCTATACCGCCACATATTGAGTCAAATATAAATTATGATATGACAATGCAGGGATAGAATTGGGGTTACAAAGCTTCAAGGTTGAAAATTGATTGATAAGGGATGGAATTGATTAAAAGTGACAAACCATATATAAAAAAAGAAAAAATTGCTTTATCCGTCAGAACTGTGAAGGAAACACTTTGCTGTTGATCGGTGGAAAAGTATACGTTTAAATGTATATAATGGCTGAGAACGGCACAAAGAAATTGCATGGGAGAGTGACAAGACTCTGGACTGGCTGCCTCAGTGCTTAGATTGGATCGTCTGCCCCGGGGAGGAGAAATCCCCCCCCGCCCGCCTGATGCCTCCTCAGTTGTCAGACTACTTTAATGCATTTTGTCAGTGCTTGTGTGTGTTGGTGTGTCCTTGTGTTTATAGGTGTATAAATGGTCATGCAGTCGATGGCTCCGGGATACGGGCTAAAAGCGGGACCTTGTGTCACCATGGTTACCCCGCACTAACCCTCAGCGCCTGCCCTTCTCTAAAGGACCTGTCTCTGTCTCTTCTGCCGCTGTTTTCCTCAGTGTCAAATCCAGTTGGAGGAGACAAATAGGGCAGAGGACAGTTTATTTCTGTTTAACGGCTTAATATTCAAATTGTAATCCTATACTACACAACTGTAGGATTAAAGAACATGCAGGTACCATCTATTTTGCACAAACAGGACTCAAATGTGCATATCATATGTCTGCACTTGCATGTGGTTAGATTATGTTCTTAAAAACAAATCCCAAATAAGAAAATATTGGTGAAAACATTTCTTCTTAAGGCAGTAAGCAGTCAATCTCTCTCTCTTTTTTTTTTAAAGAGCTACCAACAACACAGAACACATTTTATTTGTTTCCAAATGTGTTACGCAGTGGAGACGGGGATACCATTTATTTTTCATATTGACAAGTAGATTCATATTTCACTTGCTAAAGGACCCATTGTTCACAGTTAACATTTGTGTTAGTTGTAGTCCATCTATGCAAGCCAGTTTATGAATAGTAGTTGCAAGCAAGCTGTTATTGCCAATTGTTGTAACGAACCTGCTGAAGTACAACAGTTATTCTTTCGATGTTTCTGTCATAGATCGAATTGTTCAGGTGCATTACTGCCTTAGTCCTGATTAGCATCGACTCCAGAATCCTATTCCTTAAATCATACCACATTAAAGTTGTCCTTTCTTTGACCCGTTGTTGTTGTCTAACATATTATGTTGTGCTCTACAAGTAAAGCTGCCTTTTGATTGCCCTTTATTTGTATTGAATCTAAGATGCAAACTCCCACTCTCCATGCCTTCAAATGATGTCTCCTTGGTCTACTGACCTCTATAGAAAGTAAAGGTGACACTGAGAACATAAACTGAGCTGGCCTACTCTCTGCACAGATCAAGGCTGTGTGTTTTTGTTGGAGGAAAGTTGCGATGCAGAAATACTTTGAAGTGAATGTGGTTGGTACACATGCGTGCACACTGCTGTTGTGCTGGCTTAATTCTCTCCTGATAAGAGTCTTGTCCTCATTAGTCTGCTTGTTAATCTCAATTGTGTCTTGTAATCAAGGACGACCTCAATGCAGTGCACACACACACCCTAGTTAAACATTGCACAGGGCTGATTATTGGATGGCTTTTCATTAAATTGCTCAAAGGGAGACTGCTGAGAGGTAGACTACATTAAATCAAAAAGTCTGTTTGTTTGTGTGCAAATGACTAACATTACCATGCAGTATTAAGTCTATGTATAATGGATGGGCACAATAGCAAAAGCACAAATTGGTACAAATAAGACTGATGCAAAGCGCACCGATAAGAAATCTGCTCATCAAGGCAGTGTTCGTCGCAGCATTTTGCTTTATTCAGTTTTTGTCAAACATTCGTGTGTAAGTGGAAACGGACTCACCTCGTAGTGAGCGGTGCGCTGGGACTCAGAGATGAGCTGGGCATTGCAGATGTTACAGTAGCTCTCTGTGAACAAGCCTCCGTCCACCACGCCTGCAGACTTCATCTTCATCTGAGACTACACAAACACAGGACCAAACATAAGTAAATATGATACAAATGCAGAATGGAATACAGTGTTAGAGGTGCGTAAGCATGCATGCATCTCATCTCAATTTCGATTTCCCTTTATAGTGACAGATTCCACACGACAGTTCATCCCAAATACATGTTGATCCTCTCTGTCAGAACATCTTCTCTCAGATGGTTTTGGCTCCAGTCTTGAGAACAGTGGCCTGAGGCTTTGGCTGGAGTTCCTGCTCCTTACTTAGCAATACGCTTCTAAATATATATATATTTAAACATAATGTGATAACGCTCACTTAACATGGAGTTAGAGTTTCATTTAATTATTGTCTTAATTATAATGTACATTTTTCCAAGCCAACAGGTAATCGTTACAAAGTTATATCGAATCATCAAGATTATAAATAAGAAGTCAAAAGTATGGGTCCTCTCAAAGTGCTAAATTCATGATACAGAAATGGGTTATGAGCATGTTAATGTCGCAGTGGTTCAAAGTGTTCCTATTCTTAACTACATAATAAATCGTTGGGAGTTCAAGTTAGAGTACGCATCACATTATCAAAGTAGTTTACTTTATGTTTGGTCACATCGACCAAGAGTAAAACAAATGTATGAAAGTGCAGGAACACTGTTCAAGAGTTTTAGAAACTGTTTGATATCTCTCTAGCCATGATATAGCACCATCTTTATCAGTTACTTTTCAGACATGTTGAACAGTGTTAGGAGTTGTCTGACTTCATTTACTTCTATTACAAAGAGATGTGGTATTCAAATTCAGAAAAGGACATAGTGGACTCAAATATGTCATGTTTTGCCTTCTTTGTGATAAATATATTCATCTCTCCAACTCTATAGAGTCATTTTACAGTCTTCACTAAGCTCTGCTCTGACTGCTCTCATTACTTCTCCAACTTTTTTTTTCCTACTGGGCTGTAGTGACTAACAATCCCAAAGCTTTTCCTGCCACCCTAAATTAGAATTTTGACACTCAATTTTTGCAAGCTTAGAAATACTTAAAGACCCTCCATTCCCCCTCTTTGCATAGGTTTATGAACACTGGCAGGATGATAATAATGCTGTAAAGCTGCACAGTATAGCCAATAGCAACTTGGACAAGGATTATCCTTAGGTAGAATTTTTATAAGGTCTCCTTCAAGATTCCCCGGAGAAAAATGGTTTGTTAAAATGTAGTCAGTGACTAACTGTCTGACCAGTAACACCATGGAGACCTGAGCATCCCACAGGGAGCCATGGAGCTGGGTCCTTAAAAACCTGGCAGCAGTGTTTTTCTTTAAATTTGATACTTAGCACCGTAATAGAAAATGGTTTAATTATGTGCTCTGCAGTGTTGTTAAACGTTCTATTCTCTTCATTATGTGTGCCCTGTAGGCAGTGCTCTGACAGGGTAAGGGTGAGTAACGGGTGTGTAGGGAGCGGTCCAGGAACATCAACCATTAAACTGGATGAGCTCCTTGCCCCGAGGAAGCGTCAGGACAGTGCTTGCAGCGGCAAAGTGTTTTATAGAGTGAGATACATGAATGCTGCAGAGGTCAGCTCTAGTTACTCTGTCCAGCACGGTAGCCGGAAAATCACAACATTAGCGATGAGATCAGGAAAAAACGACTGTGTGTCAGCAGGGAGAAGTAGCGACAGGAGTTGGTATTCTTTATTTATAGTCTAGGGTGTAATTACCTCTAAGCTAAAGCACTGACTCTCACACGGTGACACACATGTGAGCGCACACACATTTTAACACACCACCGGTAATTACCCATGTCTGTTCTCCTTGTTTGTTTAGTGCACCTTGGCCCTTCCAATTAACTACCGACATGCTGTACAGACATTTTCTCAATTATGTCGTTGAGCCTACAGTATGACCCCCATCATTTAAAATTAAATGGCAATGCAGATAAATTTGAATTAGAGAAGCACACATTATTATTATTATTATTATTATTATTATTATTATTATTATTACCTCTGTGTGCTGTGTAACTTATGTGTGTCTGTGAGAAATGATAAGAATTCTAAAATGTCACTGATGACAAGCTGGAAACGTGGTTTGTCTACAGGGATGCATTATTACCCTCCCTATGTAAAGTGTCCTGTGAGACATGTTGGAACAGATATATTTTGAAAACTGATACATTATATTTGCTGCTGAATACTGTACGTGTCCTCACAGAACTTTGTGGCGATAAAAAGACCTTGCGCTGTCTGTCTGGACGTCAGCCAGGCAGGAGCGAATCTATCTCTTCATCTTCGGGCTAATTAAAAGCGATAGTGGCTGCAGAAATAACCGTATCTTCCTAATATCTCTATTACCTCTGATTATTACATGCAAGATGGGAGATGTAGACTAATTAATAGAGGCAATCTGTTGCTGAGATTAATAGAATGGCAGGCCCATTGAAGCGAAAAGATGAAGAGACAGATAGTGGGGGGGGAAATGAAAGCGCTAAGGAAAGAGGAAAAAAGAGAGGGAGGGATTATAATTGGTGCTTTGGACGTGATGTCTTCATGTTACATGGGCTTAGAGGTCCTAATGAGGAACGTGGTTTCATTCCCACAAAATCAGACCAGAGCAGCTGTATCGAGGACTGTTACTCTACTGTATTCTATGTTTTTTGAGAATCTAATAAGTGCGACTTTTAGTTTAAACTGGCATGAAACACAAATGGTCATGTTAAATTTAGAATTAGCCGACAGTTCAACTTCAGTTCATCTTTTAATTCCTTCTTTATTGGTCGGCCTTCTACAGTTGCAGTTTAACAAGCATCTTATTTTTGGCTCAGACTCAAACAGAAGTCACTGAAAATATGGAATCAATGATGATGTAATTGACCATTGATAAAACATGTATACTACTGTTAGTTTTGTCAGTTAGGGCTCTGCTATTTGAGGGAACTCATCGATTTTTCTAAAAAAGTACAATTTCATATTAGTTGGTCCACAAAACCAAAATGTATTGATCGTTTCTTATCTAGTTGAAAGTATTTAATGTTATGTAAAAACACTTGAAAATCTAGTCTAAAGTTCAAAGGGGATCTAAAAGTATGTTGAGGATTAATAAGGGGGAGTCAGTAAAAATATATCTGCTGGAAAGGTGAATATATATTTAAAGAGACCTCTTCCATTTGAAGAAAGGGTGAAAATTATTCAGAAAGGGTTAAAAAATAGAAATCGTATGAGAAATGGGATTCTAAACCTAGATGAATCTTAGCGAATGCATGAAAGCCTGAGGAATCTGAAGACGGATAAACCTTGAGGGGATTCCCCTTTAAGATCACATCAAGTATTTAACATTCATGTGAACTCTGAGCCCGCCGTCAAATCTCAGCCGCTGGCCCACCATTCATTAAAAAGCTGGCATTGAATTGGACGTGGCTTTTTTGTTCTTGTCTAGTAAATGCAACCCCTTATGATATTAATTACTTTGTAGTATCACTCACAACTACAGTGTAGATAGCATTATTAAATGAAAGCCCTTATTGTAGTGACATAGATAGTAATGTTTTACCCACCGTGGGCTTCAGAGACACTGCTCTCATTACAGATACTTTCACATATGAACTGAAAACACACCTTTATGGGTATAAATGAGATTCCAAAACCTTTTAGACCATTTACCCCTTCATACCAAACAAAATGACCTCTAAGTACCACTTCCCACTGCAGATAGCAAAAGTGTAACATTCTAAAAAACCCTTGCCTTTATACAGCCTTGTCTTTTCCTCTATCCCAGTGACGGTAAATCCCATGTTGCTGTTCGTAATGTATTTTCATTTTGCTAGGAGCTGTCGCTCAGCGGCTCAACTGTCTACTCAAACTCTTGTTCAGCATTGAAAGGTTCATCTATCTTAGGTCAACATTGCCACTTGTCTATGATCTAATTCTTTCTTTTAAAGAAACGTTTTAAAATACTACTTATTATCAAAGTCTAAAGAGTTGGAATCAAACTGCATTAAGCCGTCACTTAACTTAAGAGGTCATGCCAATTATTGATTCTAATATATTTTTGACCAACAACTTATTTTTAAAACACTGTAATGTGCTTTTGGGGCCAGTTGGATTGCAATTGTTGGATATTTCAGCAATCCTCTTACACAACACTACGAAGGTTAAGCTTGCATACCCCCAGCGTCATGTGCACCAGAGTTTGGGAATCACTATACTTGACAGGACAGAGATCAAACGTTAAGACACAGGGATGATAAGGAATAAAAGGAGCCGGTGGTTGGGGCAGTACTGTAGGTTCCCTGTTGTTTCTCCTCCTCCCTCATCAATCTTTCCCTTTCTGCTCCATCAGAAGGGCTGCTGTGAAGAGGACTGCCTTTTCCCCTCTCCCTCTTCTGCACTCACAATTTTATAGTTTATTTTCCCTTTGAAAAGGCTGCTCTGATTTAACTGTCAAATTATGCATACAGACGATGAAATATTGACATCAGCCTGGGAGCCAATGACCCGTCTAATGAGTCACTAGTGGGTATAACAATGTAAAGGGTTGCAGGGTTAATAATATGGAACCCTATATAGCAAAGGTACGCAGCCGTGTCACTTTGATGTTCCACGTTACAAATTGTTTCCTGTTTCACTCTGGGTAATGTGATCTTTCCGACACCATCATTCCATCTGCCCCCTTACCTTTGAACAGTAGCAATCAAAGGTACTAGACTGAGGGAATAATGTCATTTAAGGAGCCGGAGCCCAAGACTGAACCTCTACTCTCACTCATTCTGTTTGCACTGCAGGAGCTCACTGATTAATGCTGCACACTGCAAACATACACTGACTCAAATACAGCCCGGGTGCAAACACACACATTTTGTTGGGGAAAATACAACCAAGAGCCTACAGTTAAAGATACAAAACAACAAATCTGTGTGAGGGGTTGCTCTCTGTTCCCTCATCGCTAATTTCAGCATCAAACCAACAGGGTAAGTCCTCTTAGGAAGAGACAGAGTGTGGTTCTAATAGAAACGTCACTTAATG